ATTATACCGCCATCTATCGGACGCCCTATGATTTTCTAATAACTAGTCATCTCTTACGGCGGCAAATTTTACACCTTTTTATAATTTAATATTATTATTACATATTATATAAGACATTAGTTTTACTTAAAGGACTATATCAGAAAACTATATAAAATAAAATAAATCACTTGCAAGAGACATTAGAATAATGCATTGATTCCAAAAGGTTAAAATTCGGTAAGTAAGCATGATTAAACAATTTTACATAATTTATTTATAGAATTAAATACTGAAATTTGTGAATATTCTAAGAAAATATGAAATACAACTGTATTAATCTCGATGGGGTAATTTAAAATTTACAAAAGCACACATAAATATAAAAACAAATAAATTAGTTTTGTATGACTTTTATTAAAGACAAAAATGATTTTAAGATCAGATACATTAATTAACCATGTTACACAGGTCAAAGATAAATATTGTAAACACACATTTTGTGTACGATTATCTTAATACTAGTATCAATTAAACACTTAACAATCTCCGTAATAATTCTAGACGTAAATTAGCGTATATTAATATCGTTTGACTGATTTTAACGCAGATCTGTGTATGCATTTTGCATACATACAAGGGGCGGCTGAAAAGTTTTGAGCCTAAGTACCTTCAAGTGTCATTATTGTTTTGCACTGTATAGTATTCATTTTCGAATACCCTCCTTAGTACACACACAGAGTTTCACATCATTAGCATCATTACGCTTTTAGTAATGAATCCGTAATTATCATCATGTCTCAATCATCCGCGCATTGTACGAAATTGGAGTACAGAGCTGTCATAAAATTCCTCACAAAGAAGAACAAAAAGCTGACGAAAATATTTGAAGAGATGTCGACAGTGTACGGGGAGTCTAAACCTTCACAGTGTAAAACGTTAGAGTCAAAATTCAAGCATGGTAAGGAATCGCTAGAAGATGACTCCAGGTCAGGACAGCCAAACACTGCCGTTTAACGAAGAAAATATTGCAAAAGTAAAATAACTTGTTCTAGAAGATCGGCGAATCAGGTGTAGCTATTGAAGCTATAGGCATTAGCAAGACGAATCGGTGATATTTTGCATACTCATTTGCACCTGCGAAAGGTGTGCGCATAATTTTCTATCAGCATTTCTAAAACTTTTCAGCCTCGCCTCGTAATATTATCTCATAATCTCCTACATCTTATGATCTAAACGTTCAACACAATTACTTTACCTTAAACTGTGATTTGAATCAAAAATCAAAGAACAAGAAAACAAATAAAAATCTATAAATATAAAAAACCTATAAGATAGAAGAGATACGTATGTGTTCAAAAATATGCTACAGGCAATAGATACATGTCACACAGTCACGAAAATATTTTTTTTTAATTTTAGTAAATTATTAAAAATATCAAAACAATTTAACAAAAAAAAAAACAAATGCCAAGATTGAGCTCTGCTTCTTCTTAAATATTACATCTTACATTTAAAACAATTAAATAGTCTCAATTAATTCTACTGTATTAATATTAAATGTCACCTCGATACGTATACGGTGGTAGGACTACTTTTGCGAGAGTCCTTCTGAGTACGTACTTAAAACTGTTTCTGTCGCCAGCAGCAGGGATTGCTCTGTTGTAGTCTGGGTCGAGACAGGCTGTGGAGCATTCCATCTTAGTTCTCATGGGTGAAGCATATATAACCTTCTTTGTTTGAAGTTGGTTGCAGGTGTGCTACAGTAGCTACTCATTATCAGGTTGACTGTAAGTCGCAGAATAATTATATTAGAAAAATACAAAAATAATTAACATATCAATGGTAACAATAAGTACAAACCTAAATGGACTAAAACGGAAATTACTGAAATGCTGCAAAATGAATATCCTAGGTGCTTATATTATTAAAAATAATAATACTCAGTCTTACCAAATGTAAAAAATATAAACAATGGACTGGCCTACTTTGTACAATATTAAAAATTATAAATTATGAGTTACATAAAACGCGTGCGATATTATTCCTGTAAAGCATTTGGCACATAACTTTAACATCAATTTCTATGAAAACGTAAGACTTATTTACTCTTCTTAGTTATATTTTTAATTACAAAAAAATTCTGACAGTAATTTAAACTGGTGACTAGTTTTTTTTTTGTAATAACGAAGGAAACATAAGAACCAAATGAACCCACTAAAATATTTTATCTTTGGTACTGCTTAAATTGTATTTGACGAAGAAACATTTATATAGCTAACATATAACAAAGGAGTTAAGTTTATACGTACGTGTATTTATAAATAAAAACATTGATATACATACCAAAAGCTAATTATCAGTTTTTAGATAACTCAAATTTATCTCGATTTCGGTCAAAACTTACAATAATAGTTGACGAAAACCCAAATACATTTTTGAGTTATAATTTTAATTATTTTCTTTTTGAATGAATGAAGCTGAATCTGAGTGACTGGGTAAGAAACTGTGTGATAAAAAAGGGTGTGGTTTGCAAGATGATGCGGTGACCAGCATTAAGAAGGGAATGCTTCGGTGGTTTGGCCATGTAGAAAGAATGAATGAGGAAAGAGTGACAAAGCAAATATATGTTGCAAAAGTGAATGGAAGAGCCGGAAAGGGACGTCCAAGGCAAAAGTTTGTCGACCAAATTGGCGATATATTAAAATGGGCCAAATTAAGAGTACCCTTAACCGACTAGCATGTATGCGTAGGTATATGGATGTGGAAGAGGCGAGAGAGATATGTCAGGATCGTGCTAAATGAAAGGTCTGTAGTCTCTACCTACACCTCTGGGTGACAGGCGTGAGTATTTATGTATGCATGTTATTTTCTTTTTAATGTTTTAATTTGACACACCACTCCCAACAACCTATGCTTATATTACAATCTAAACATCACGATACTAATTGAAATGTATAAAAATTTGTTGAAAAAAACAGGTTGTTAAAAATGTTCTATGTATAGTGTTTTTTTTTAATTTTTGAAGTTTCTTTGAAGAGACTTTTGCAAAAAAATTTTACCGAAATAGAATTGTATAAAATTTATATTTTACTAATTTTTTAAATAAACATTCGATAAATATCCGTAATGCTGGCTGCTCACGGCGCCTGATATCCGTGAAAACGGTTATTGGCTTTTGGCGCTCAGCGAATAAAGCTGGACATCACCATAACAGGCCAAGACAAGCAAGTTCCTTTATGGAGGGCTTGTCTTGGCCTGTTACGCTGATTCGTTTTCATATGTAATTCAAAGTTCGGAAACTGTTACATTGGTCCACTGCATAATTTCGTACGCAAGAATACTTTACGATTGTACTAAGTTCAAATAAATTAACATGGCGACGTGCCAACCCGATCCACCCCTTACACCGTGGATTAGTTGCGATGTTACGCGACTGCCCACGTCGCCAGAAACTTTACACATGCGTAAACGTTGGCTGGAGCGGTGCGACCTGTAGACCATGCGATGTAAGAAGCCAGCATATCTGTCTCTAGCTATGCTATATATTTATTTTAAAAGTTACAGAGAACATAGCGTTACAAAGGCGTAAGTGTGAGACGTACACTAACACTAAGCTCGTTTACAGTCAAGACATAAATTAAAATGACGGTTATCATTTCTAAGAAATTTCCGCATATTTAATTATATAATTACAGATATATTATGTATATTTTAATTTTATTTTTGGAGTTATTTATAACCCTTAATCCCTCCACACGGGAACACCTGTGTACGTAAATCACAATAACTTAGTGTTTGCGTACAATTGTACGTTCAATTTACGTAAAATTTGTTACATAGCCAGATAATATGTCTAAACAGCACTAAATCTCGATGAATAATGAATTTAGCATCTATCATTCTTAATTAAACAATATAACTCTTCCAAATTTTAGCAAAATTCTTTCTTTTGCGGCAGCAACGCGCCGAGTACCAGCTAGAAAGGTTATAAAAATAAAGCAAAGCAAAACTAAGAGACCTTTCAATTGATACACATCGTATTCATAAATTTGTCAGTGACTGTAAATCATATAATTATATTTAAAAAAATACAGAATATTTGGAGGTTGTTTGTCCTAGTAAATAGATAAACAGTTAAGAACCGACTCCTAATATTTTAATAAAAATACGCTTATTTTTAAATAACACCTTAAAACTATAATTTAACAAAAAAATTAAAATGAAGATTTTTTGTTCATAAAATTATACTTGTAATCCGTAATATTTTTATGGCACGATTTATACCCGGGGTGCGTGCGGTTGTTTGCAGCTTTCACAGCACTGGCGAAAAACTGGTATAATGACGCAGGTCGCAGTGCCCACGCATTCTGCGGTCGTTAACTACGGAGAACGTGGTCGCACAGCGACGTTTGTCGATCCATTGCAAATAACCCTACTTGCGATCATGTACCGTCAAGTTCGTGGGCATTCCCGCCTCAAAACAGCGGCCTTGTGAGTTTCTAATATAAAATCGACGCTCATGCTCATCTACCTGTGCGAATGCGGGTAAACGTAGCTCCGTGAGTCCTTAGCATTATATGTTAAAACATTTATTAAGTACCAGCGGTGCGCCCCGGCTTCGTACGGTTGATTCCTGGATCTCGACACAGCGCTCCTACCGGGTCCAAATATAAATCTAAACCTTCTGAGGGCTCATTCAAACAAAAAAATTCCATCAATATCGTTAGATCCGTTTTTGAGTTTTACCAAGATTTAACAGATAGCAATTGACTTTTACTGATAGAGATTATCCACGTGTTACAATATACATGTTTTTTTTGTTTATAATACGAATTATTACGAGATTGAATGAACATTTTATATATAATTTGTTAATTCAAATTGTATGTCGGAAATAATTCACCCTGGGAAAACTTTCCATTTTCTTATAATTGATTAAAAAAACGATAAAAAAAATTCAGTTCTTGAAGAGTAAATGTCTCCTCGAAGCTCCGAGTTCTCTTCTTACTTAGTTCGCTTTAGTTCTCTCCTTTTTTCTCCTCATTTGGCTACAAAAAAGAGAAGGGAAATCATTATTAAAAATATTAATGAACATTTTTCTCTATCTTCATCAGCCTGTATAAGTTATAAGAAAAAAGAGCCCTATTCGTCCCGCTTAGTAGATATACTGATGATACCAGATTTCTAGCATCTCGCCGTCCTGAATATTTTACGTCTAGAGTTAACGAGTGATAAGAATTTTTTAGCACTTCCTGCAGCCGCATTTTAAGACATCCACGAGAAGAAATGCAATGATGTATTCGCTTATTAATATAATGTAATAATGCATCAATTGAAGGGTATTTCTAAATTTCAATGGCGTTTATTTATAATGTAATTTTTTAATATTAATTAAATTAATTATTTTAATATTTAATATGTAGGCGTTTGTTTATTTATAAGATCATATTTAAGATTTTGGAAAACATCTCTTTAACTGTCACTTAAAACAATATATTTATTGTCACACACTACAATGCAATTGGCTTCCTTAGGCACTTATCCCACCGCCAACGAGAAAGCGATTAGCTATCAACTATTTTCTTGCTAAAGAAACAAACAGTAGATATAGATCCCGTGTCAATAAAGTAGATACATATATTAACGCTGCCTGTTCGCACTGCCAGCGAGAACCACAGAACATATATACCCCTACAGGGGGCGAGAACTCTCTCTCCACTAGTTGGTCACAGCTAAAAAGAGCTATCAAAGATAAAACTCGCCGGTTATTCGTCATCTCGCCCAACAAAAACTCGCGCGATCGGGCGACTTGGCACCTTTCGAATTTACCTAATATTTCTGTCGTAAACTTGCACGCTCGTACAAAGTACAGCCAGGAAAAAAATAACAAAATTTTAAAATCGACTTCAAATAAAACGACATTGTATTAAATAAAAATTTAAACTAAATTAAAAAAAATACTAAAAATAAAGCTACTGACTATTGTTGTTTTATATCCGAAATAGGTATATATACACATAACAATACAAAAAATATTTCGGCCGTAAAGAGAACATCGCTCTTCGGCAGTGTATGCCGAAGCTAAACAGGTTTATGCTCACAAAAGAATAGTGCTATCTCTTTCTTTTAGCTAATCCTTTATCTCTATCAAAATCGTGGCGCATTGTACCGTCAGTCAGTAAAGCGTACTTTACTGCGCCCGCGCATATTAATGTTGTTGATTTTTATGTATGTTGGAGGTAAGTTTATTTAATTTATTTACACAGTGTTATTATGTCTTAATGAAATAAAACATGTCTAATTTTTCTCATCTGCCCATTTTTTATATTGATTATGCAAAGTAAAGTAAATAATTATCATTTTACGAAATACCTTTATATTTTATTACTACTAGTTTTATTTTAATACTATACTAAGGGAGCAGGGTTAAATAATTTAAAAATATGGCTTTTGTGGCCGCCATCTTGTTTTGTCCTATTGACTAGCATTGGAATAAACTATGAGACATAAATTAAATATTATAAATTATATTAAGATTTTTATGATTATAAGTAATAATATATACGCGTATATATAAGTAGTAATAATAATACATTTCTAAATAATGGCTTGCTTTGCCTAGATAATTGTTCACGATTTGATTCAAAAAACCGGTTTTAACCATTGAAGTAATATGTACTTACATACTAGAACAGCTATCTCAACCAAAAAATGTGTGCTACTCTGTGTTCACGCGGTTGGTTTTTTTATCATAGAATAAACATAGGTAGAATGACCCGTAGGTAATAGTAGATTGTATTGTTAAATAGGTAAATTATATCGAGAACAATATTCAAATTTTGTCATTTATAATATTATATCACAATTACATTTTAATGATATTTTTATCTGAATACTTTAAAAGGTATCTATGTCAAATATAAAAAACATACTAAATGTATGTTTAACAAAACTTATTAACATAACATTTAAATTACAAATATATTTATTTAAATTAGAATAAGAGTCGTTGATAAATGCTGGGCACGCGAGAGTTAAAAATGGACGAATTTATGCCACTTTGACTTTGATGTGGAAACCTAAAAATAAAATAAAAGAATAATAAGCAGGTTTAAACATGAAAAATTTAGCCTAATTATTATACCTTATATATGTTTCTACAAAAAAAATGTGTATAATAATATATTCGTCCTGTACTTAAGTAACAACAGAAATATCGCATCTGAACAAATTAATTTCATAATCTATATTTCATAACACGAGATGGCGTCTTAGGAATAATTTATTTTATTATTAATCTATAATACTTTTTATTGATTAAGTATCTTATTAACCGATGAAAAGTAGTTCCTTGGTTTTGACTGACATTTCTTAAATTATTTGTGCAATATCTAAGTACACACGACGGCATATTTTTATCAAGAGATTTTTTTTAAATTAACACAACACGTGACAACTCTACAAGCGACTAGCGAGTGACTGATTAAAGTGCGGTGTATGCACCGCAGTTGTGTGGAACAGAGTAGCTGAATGCAGTGTCGCCTCTAGTACGTAGTACATAATAGCTCAATGGTTTTAACAATAACATTTTTTAGGAGTTGAAGCACAATCTGGTCCGTCTAATTCTGGAACTGGTCTGAAAACAATTATTTCACAAAGAGGAAAACCAGTACTTCTTCGCGCGGGCTATAAATATAATTTACATAGGAAAAATAAAAGATCCTGTGTTTGGAGATGCTCCAAACGAAGTATATGCAAAGCAAAGCTTATTGTAAATACTGATAACTCTATCAAGCGGGAGAATAGACACAAATGTGAGCCGGATTTTCCGTCAAATCAGCTAGAAGTAGAATTCAGTTTGAGTGCATGGGAAAAGTGAAGACTGACTATACTGTACCCATACCAAGTGTTTTTCGACAGAGTGTTACTGAGCTAAAAGACAAAGGAACCAACCTCATCCAAAAAATTCCTTAATTTAAAAATGTTAAAAATAAGTTTTACCGAAATAGAAATAAGTCACTGGGCGTAAAAAAACTATGTTGTAACACTTTAAAGCAAGTTGTCGTGCCCGAAAAATTCAAAAGCTTTCTATTAGCTGATTACTACAGCTAGAAGAATAGAATTTTGGTTTTCGCTAGTGATAATTGTAAAACAATATTGGCAAATTGTAATTTGACAGTTTTATGTGACGGAACTTTTAAATTTTGTCTAAAACCCTTCCAGCAATTGTACACCTTACATGTTGATTTAGGAAGCACTGAAACACATACTAACACCATAGCTGAGACCTATGCATTATTGCCAAACAAAAATTAAATAACTTACAAAGTGTTGTAATCCCTGATCAAGAGTCAAATTCCACAGCTCGATCCAATAAATATTATACTCGACTTCGAGCAGGCAGCAATGTCAGCGATCACAGATGTATTCCCAGATTTGTGGGTATTTCTTTCATTTTTGTAGAAGTTTGTGGCAAAAGGCTGACGAAGTAGGCATTACAAAATCTGCACTGGCTCGAAAACATGTAAAAAGGTGTACTGTTCTGGCACATTTACCTAAAGAATTTATTGACAGTGGTTGGTTGTACATTATGTCTCAATGACCCAACGATGAAACAATTGTCCAATTTAATAATTATTTTGTAGAAACGTGGTTAAGTGAATCTTCATTTTTTGCTGACAAATGGTCGTGTAGTAACAATCGTCACCGTACCACAAATATGGTTGAGAGCTGGCATGCTACTATAAACAAAAAAGTAAAGAGTAAACCGAAAAGCATCGCTCATTTTTTGACTATTTTACAACGAGAAGATAATTATTATCAAACTTTATACTTAAAAGGATCAAATATTACGACAAAGCAGAAAGAAACTTGTGCTATTAATAAATACTCGTATATTGCGTATTTGTACTCAGACTCGGATACATAAGTATTGAATTATGTATCGAAAGTCTTGTATTATAATTTTTTGAATATTTTGATTTGACATTAAATAAGAACAAAAATCGTGATCTGTGATTATACTGACAATTATTGTATGTTGTAAGAAGTAGTTATAACAAGCCAAATGCTCTTTTGATATTATTGTTTTTTACACTTACAATGATTTTGTGATATTGTTGATTATATTTAAAATTTTGATTAAATTTTTATACTTAGATAATAACAAGCCAAATGCTTTTGTGATATTGTTGACTCTATTTTTTAATGTTGATTATATTTTTATATCTAGTTAATAACACGCCACATATTTCGTGATGTCGTTGATTATATTTTGATATTGTTGATCGTATTTTTATACTTAGCTAATAAACAAGCTAAGTGCTTTTGAGAATAATTATGTAGTTATTTTTTTTACTTTGATTATTATTTAATGTGACATGCTTTTATATTTTTCAGATGTTGATTTGTGAAATATATCTAAAATTATGATAAAGGAATTTTTTAGTTGACTGTACTAAGTTACCTCATATTTTTATGGTCAGGCGAATAAGATTTAATACGATGTCGTTTTATCTGAAGTCGTTTTTAAAATTTAGTTTAATTTTTTCCTGGCTGTACTTTATACGAGCGTGCGAGTTGACGACACAAATATTAGGTAAATTCGAAAGGTACCAAGTCGCCCGATCGGGCGAGTTTTTGTCGGGCGAGATGACGAATAAGTGAAACTCGCTCCGCGATGCTCGCTTACCGGTCAGAACTAACGCCGACCAGCGGCCATTTTACACTACAGTGAGGATTTGAGTGCATTCGCTTATAGACCAGCAACAAAACTGTTACTACACATTCGCTTCTTGCAGCTCGCCAACTCTTATCTACTTTCTAGCTCTATTCACTTCTCGTTCATCGTATACAGTTTTTATCTTCTTTTTCTCCTCATTAAATATAACAAATCATTACACAAATATTTATTTACTTTGAACTTTCAAAGAAAACTCCATCTTGTCTCTCCTCTATCGTTCTCCCTCTCTCCACTATTAATCGTTCCTATCACACATCGTTGCGTTCCATGACTTAGAGCCTTAAGGAGTTTCCCCTAGCGAACGGCCTTGAGTTGAGGCCATTCATTGGAAAGTAATGATGTGTAAGTTGGAATTAATTGACTTTTTAATAATCGATTTGAATATTTAAACGGTATAATTCTATTCGGCGAGAGTTGATATAAAAAATGTCTTGTAATAGCGAATGTCACCTTAATACGGTCGTCGGTTATCGTCGCAAGAACAAAGTTTTGTGGTAGTAGTAATAATAATAATGTCCTCCAGGCCGAATTTCGGTCACGGTAGCTTGCCTCAACGGAGACTAGCCATCGGCGTAGGACAGGATTATAGTGTCCAAGTGTATGCGCAAGCACAGGTACACTCTCTATTCCGTCACTCTCATACTCCGATGGGACGGTAAACTAACACGAACGGAGACATCAGGTCCAGGAACAACGGTTTTAAACGCTTTCCGAGGCACTTAGGTGAGAAACCACCAACTTCTTGACTCCGGACAGCTACTGAGAATTTGTTGACGGTAAAACTCAATAATTGATTTCTTGGTCCGATCTGGGTTTCGAAGCCAGGATCAGTAGTCGCACTACTACAACCACTAGATCAAGGTATCAGGCAAACTTTGGTAGGTTTGTGGTACTACAGAGTAAGGATTTCGATAAGGTACGAAGCTTGCAGCTGTTATCAAACGCGAGGCCGATTGGACGAGCCGGCGCTCTGGCCATCTGTCAGCAATAATAATTTGAGGGCGGTACTTTATACCCAACAGACATTAAGTAGTTTTATTATGCTATGGTGCTACATTTCTCAGATTATTTCCCATGTTCATCGGCTACAGTGATCACTCACAAGTATCAGATTGACTGCTAGCTCATTTGGAAATAGTTAAAGAAGACGTCTTATAGTAATTGAGTTGTTTAAACGAAATTTTAATCAAATTTAACTAAAATTCAAAAACATAATCATTTATGGTGTCCTAAAACTTTAAAGTAATAGAGATAATTAGGTAATCTGTATCTCAAAATATTAGACATTAAAATCTTACTACAGTAATCTCAATGTTTAAAGTAGCCCACGACTCTGCAGATGAACTTATATCTAACGGCATTATAAACTTCTATATCTGACCAATTCATAATAGGCTGGAAATGATTACAAAAGGCACATAAAAGTATTATCCACATTTTGTGCAACATATACCTGAAAAAAATGTTTTCAGGTACTCAACTCTATATCAACTCTCGCCTAATAGACTTATACCATTTACATATTCAAATAGATTCTTAAAAATTCAGTTTAATTTCAACTTACAACATATACCTGTAAACAATGTTTTCAGGTATATGTTGGTATGTGTTATACACGAAAACATTGTTCTTCGGAAACTTCGAGTAAAAATGTAATCAAACGTTTTACATACTTTATAATAATTGCCTGTTTTTCGTTATATATTTAAAGATTTTGTAGTAACCTACTTTTATCGATGATTAATATATACACGTATATGGAAAAAAATAGGAATTAAACTTACCGTCAATTCAGGGAAAGCGGAATTTAGCTCTTGTTCTAAAGCAGATTCTGTCAACTCATCGTTATCCAGATATTTGGCACACAAAACTGAAACAATTAAAAAAAAATTAGTGTTATATGATGAGGTCTTTTGGTTTGAGAAACAAAGAATAATTGGAAGCTATTAATCGCACAGGCGATATTTTAACTCTCTCGTCCTAGCCCACAATATGAAATCGAAAGATCGGATCCAGCGTCAGAAACTCGGAAACAATCACATCTTAACCAGACCTAACTTACAATTAGCGCTTTTAATCTGTGCATCTGTACAGAGAGGTTTACGTAACTTACGACTCTGGACTGGGATTTCATCCCAGTCCAGAGTCGTATGTTACGTATTATCAGAGATATGTGGAGAGCTAAAGTGTATTTTGCTAAACCGAGAGTAGTCAAGAAATTTGACCACTAAGTCACACTTTTACAAGGCGTAATTAAAGCGTGAAAAAAATGGACTTACTGGATTCCTCTTCGAATGAATCCGTTGCTCTAACAGTCATATCTAAAGCTATCTTTTTTTTGGCAATCTCATCAATATCTTCAAAATCGTTTCGACGTTTTGTACCACAAGAAATTGTGCTTGATACTGAAACACCAGAACGAATGGGTTCCGAGGAAATCGATGGTTCCATATTACTTTTGATATAACCCGCTAATTCATGTGTCAGTTGTTTTGCTTCTATAAGATCAGATTTATTTCCAGAACTTGTGGGAGCAACAATCATTGGTTTTTTTTCCAAATAGTCAATTCGATTACTTGTGACAGTTTCGGGTAACGGTTGATTATTTTTTTTATTTTGTTCATCAGACCCATAATTCTCCATAAGTTGACGGTTAGTGTGCACCACAGTATCATAAAGTGAATGTGCGTTTTTATATCTTTTATCTATTACAGTTGAAGTATCAGTTGGAATTATCATTTCATAATTCGGGTAGATGGCATCTGCTACAAATGTTGATGAAGAATCTGTAATTGCCGATGGATAAGATGTTGAAGGACTACTTATAGGAGAAAAGTAATTTCCTAATGGAGTTACGTAATTTGAGAAACCCTTTTCAGCACGATAGGAATCGTTGTTTAAACTTAGTAAGTGATGATTTCCTGATGATATTTGCAATAATCTCGTTGAATCAGAAGAAGGTGGAATAATATAATTTCTATCAGAAAATGATGGCAATATTAAAGTGTTAGAATACATATTTATATGGCGGTTTACGATATTTTCTGAGTTGAAATTCGTGTTTGAAGTAATTATTGACGTATTGGTAAAAACTGAAGTGTAAGTTTTTTCAGGCATCACTGAATTCGTATGAGTAGGACTTCTAGCTCTGTTATAATGTTCGAAAGCATATGAATCACCACCATATCTGTGGGAGTCATCAACAATTTGTGTTGAATAAAAACGTTCTAATAAAATAGGATCAACTGAAGAACAAAATCCAGACGGTTCGGGCTGTGGAATAAATGTGCTGCTGCTTTGTGAAAAGCTAGTAGGTGAAACTAAATCAACATCTACGCCAGATGTTGAGGAAAGACTTCGAAAAATACTATTAGGTCGTTGTAACGAAGTGTTATCCAAAGATAGCAATCTTGAGACCGAATAAGAATCTACATCAGTGACGCTAACCGATGTTAGTGTGGTTGTAAAAGTAGTTGGTAGAGTCTCATTGGATATTTTTCCAATTTCTTCATAATTTCTCTGTTCGTTTTCTTTAATAGCTTTGTAAGGTTTCATTTTAGATATTGGTTCCTTATTAAATGTTTTTATAACACTATATATTTTTTCTATAGCGTTGACGATTCTTTCTTTTTGTGGTGGAATTATAGAGAGATGGAATGGAGGACTATCATTGTGATCAGGAGAAGCAGTTTGAGGAGATTCAGGCTGTGGAGATGGCAAATTGGTCACCAAATGTAAAATAACCTTCTCTAATTCTTTTGGATCTTCGACCGGAAGAGCATTATCGTTGACCTGTTAAAAAGAAAAAGAAAATCATTAATCAAACAAAATAATCACAACAATGGGTAGATATTATTAAATAGATACATTTTAGATAGTGTATGTTTTAATTTCTTTTTACCGTTACCGGCGACCATCGTTATGCTTGAAAAATGGAAAAGAAATCAGTCTTGCATTCATAAATGCAAGATTATTTTACCGCTTACAAAAACAATATCACTATATATTTTAAAATAAAATATAATTTCAAAAAAAATATATATATATATATAATATATATATATATATATATATATATATATATATATATATATATATATATATATATATATATATATATATATATATATATATATATCGCAACTTGCATCATCAGCCTATATAAATATACTGCAAGACATTGGTCTCTAACACAATACGGCTCATGTTCATTATTCGTCACGGTTGGCCGGCAGTCTGACAAATACAATACAAGACGTCATATACACGGCGACGGCAACTACACAGCAAACAAATTATCGTGCCCCTTATCATAGAAATTCGCAATGCAAGAAACACTATGATAATTTTTTATCATGTTTTATTTGCGCATACGTTACGTATTTTTATTTTAAACAAGCTTTTACCGGCAGCTCTGCTCGCGATTGCAGAATGTCCTACTTCAATTCACTTCTTTAAAATACATTTAATGATTTGTTTTTAAATGAATTCGCTCAGCGAAAACGTGCAGATTTTGAGCCCAATAAACACGTGAGCAAGCTCCGTAGGGCTAACCTTGTAAAAAATATAGAGTATCAAAATGTAATCCGCTACTTTAAGGGCTTGAACTTGGGATTTGTAGTCATTGAAAATGCTACTTTTAATGGTAAACGTAATCAGTTAAAATTAAATGGTAGGTTGATTAATTCATTTGGAATGTGTGATATGAGCACAGTCTCTCCCCTGGCTTCTTCCGATTATAAATTGTAGCCTTTTACGCAATTCATCTAAATTACGAGTAAAAGAGCTGCAGCTTTTATAGTTCTGCTTATTGTAGTCAACGCAGTGCACACTGGAGTTATTTCAATTGCTTTGAAATTATTTCTGAAAAGGTGATTATGCCAGAAGTGGTGTAGCGGAAAAAGCGGTGAAAATTACAACAGTCGGTGTAACAGAAAAAGTTTAGTTTTCATATAGATTGCAAGATCAAGCATCTTCATGGTTCATCAAGTACCATGTCACTGTCAGACAGTGTTAAAAACCTTCTGGGAATCTTCACCTTATTAGGAATATGACAAAAAAATAACGCAGACGGAATTGAGTACACAATACTCGTGTACACAGAGCACCGTTTTGGGGAGTACTAAATCCGTTTTTACTAAGTACTTACTACTCACTGCGACTGCGCGGAGTTGAATTCGCTTAATTTTGTAGTTAAAAATACAAAACTTGATACAAAGAAGAGGCAGCTCATTACCTATGAGTATAGCTAACACTTGTCACGACACAGAGATAGGATTTTTATTGTTTTGTAAACAAACAAGTTATTGTGACTAATATGTGATGGATAGATAGAGTGTATCGAAGACTTTTTTGAAGATAATGTTAGGGAGTTCAATTTTTCAGTACATTTATAGTTATTTCTATTATAGTTAACGCATCGCATGTCAAGTTATTATATTTTATTTTTAACTTTTAGCACCTAACTCTAGCCTAAAACATTTTTTTCAAATATAGGCCGTGTCCTTTTCTGGTTTTCAACCTATTTTGCCAAGATTTATCAAAAATACATTCAATAGTTTTTACAGAATTAAGCTACAAATATACAAATATTCAAACAAATTTTCCCATTTATAATATTAGTAGAATTAATAGGAACGGGAAGGATTAATATTGAACAGATACGGCACCCTCGGTGTTTAAGTCATCCATCCACGCACTGGTTGTGTTTTGCGAAGTTTACATATAAGTTATATTTGTATAAAAATATCTGCACTATTATTGTTTAAGTTATTATATACATTAAAAAAACTAATACGAGGGAAATCGCAAGTGCGTTGCCGGCCTTTTGAAAAGGAATAAGCTCTTTTCTTGAAGGTCCTTAAGTCCTACCGGTCCGAAAAATTCGACGGTGGTAAATGATTCCACAAAGAGGTTGTACGAGGAAGAAAACTCCTAGTTTCTAAACGTCGCTATGATCGAGAAGTGCCGTAGTAGGAGAGATAGCGACTTATTGCAGTGAAATTAATTCAACCGTCGTATTGTTAACATAACAAATGTGTTTAGTAATTATAAAATACTCAAATATAAGAGACGTAAATAATGATTACGTTTTAGTATTGTGAAAGATATCTTCTCCTGTTAAGGTTCAATGTTCTTTTTTATCGGTTTCGGTGACTAGCACTTAAGCTGAATGGTAAAGGTAACCCGCAAGTACTTTTTCATTCGTTATATATGTCACTTCACAAAGTATAAAAAAGCTGTCGAAAACTTCAGAGTTATAGTGTAATTATTGTATGTATTTGGTAGAATTGTGAACCACTTGAGAAACTTTATAATTTGATAGTTCATGCAAAGCATGATTAGATTGGAACTTGAGATATAGTAGGATAAGGTGATAAACTTCATATCAATTCATTTATGCATTACAGCCTATGAAAAGTCCTTAGGTGTAATCAGGGGTGACAAACGAGCACATAGCCCACCTGATGCGAAGTGGATGCGGAGACTAATTGATATCTACATCTATCCCACATTAAGAATTAAAATGCAGATGCGTTGTGACCCCTGAGGATTTTTTTGTTTTAAAAAAAACGTTACCCATATACTAAGATTTTCTCTTGTATCGTGGGGGCAGTTTATAAACATAAATTGCACAAGGACAAACATCCAGACCCGGAACAATTATTTGTAGGCCATACAAATACTTGTTCCGTGTGGGATTCGAACCCGCGACCCCCAGTGCAGCCACTCATTGCTAAGCCACTGCGCCACGGAGTCGTCAAATTAATAAAGTATAAATCGATTTTCAATTTATATTTTCATCGATTTAACAAAATATTAATTATGGTTAAATGCTTCGTTTACAGTCAAAGGGGTTCCGGTTCTCATCGCCGACAATACGAAACAGCATAAATGAGAAGTCAAAAATACACAAGCTTGTATCCCATGCATCCCATCCCATAGCATCCCATGAAAATATTGGTAATATCTATGATAAAAATAAATGTTTTATCATAGTGAAAGTTTGCTTTATTCCAATCTATCTGACCTAGAAATTTTTTAATTTAAATATTTATTTTGAAATAAGAATATCTCAAAGTTACAAAGAACAAATAGTAATAATTTATAAATATATTTACACATTAACACAAATAACACTATTATATGTAAAAATAACATAGCAGTTGCCACGTAAATATTAAGTACAAAACAATTTATTAACGCAAGTTAATTGCAACGCAAACATAAATAATGTGAAAATTGAGTTAAAATTGAAGGAAATATATTTAAACCTATCTTATGTAAAACACTAAAGGCAAAGCGGAAACAGTGTAACAGATAACATCAAAATGAACTAGTTTTCATCGACCACGGTAAAAGGTTACCAGTTAGTTCTCTAAATATTTGTTTACTTTAGGGCGTAATACTATCCCTTAATATTTTTCCTCATCATCCTACAGCTCCTCACAATTCCACTGCTAAACAGAGGCATCCCCGTTGCAAGTAATGTCACCAAACACGGTCTTGAACCATGTGTTTAATGATTTTTACTGATAACAACTAATTAAAAAAATATAAACTGACGGATAACACCGATTGCGATTGAATCATTTTTAAATAAAAACGTTTAAACATTAATTATACGTACGGTTTATGGAAGAAACATTCAAAATGTCGAAAGTTTTTATAAGTTAGCTAGAAGCATTTTGAAGCACACGTGCTTTCTCCGCGTAAGTTGAGACGAGACTGAAAATGGGCCCTGTGGAAAGGCTAGTTACAAAATCCAGGCAGTTATAAAGCATCTATTCTATTCCCATTGCATTTTGTGAGGATAAATTCGCATAGGGACGTCTAAATCTCGCCCATTGCTCTCTGTTTTAAGGTTGCAAGTTGAAGATCAGGAAAAACGTGATATGACGTTATAATAAGCATAGATTTGTGCATTGATGCCGTATATTTTTTCATGGTTGACAACACATAGATCCAAAGTGCTAATATATTTAGATTCAATATTGAGTTTTCCTCGTATTTATAATTATTTAGTGAAATTTTCCGTCACGTTTCGATCGATCTTGCTATAAGTAGCAAGATTACTAGATACACAATGTTAAGATTCGTACTAGTAACACAATGTTAATAAAATATAAATTTGATTGATGAAATCATTAATTATTTAATACGATCATTTAAAATTGAAATAATCATATTAAATAATTAAACCGTGCTGTAATGGTGGTGTCAGAATATCCACCACCCCATATCGTTGGTTTGACTACCTCGTCCGTCTAGTGGTTATAGTAGTGCGACTGCTGATCATGAGGTCCTGGGTTCGAATCCCGGATCGAGACAAAAAATTGATTATTGAGTTTTTCCGTCAAGAAGTTCTCAGTAGTTGCCCGGAGTCAGGAAGTTGGCGATGTCTCACCCCCGTGCCTCGGAAAGCACGTAATACCGTTGGTCTTGCGCCTGATCTCTCTCCGGTCGTCTCGGTTTACCGTCCCATCGGTTTACGAGAGTGAGGGAATAGAGAGTGCACCTGTGCTTGCGCATACTAATCCTGTCCTGCGCCGATGGTTAGAGTCCGTTGAGGCAGGCTGCTGTGGCCGAAGTTCGGTCTGGAGAACATTTATCGTGGGTATCGTAAGACCGTGGTTGTTGTAAGAGCCGACAGGAGGGAAACATACCGGGTGATGGGATGCAACATCTTTCTAATAACAACTAGTAAATAAGGTTGCCAACTCGACTGCTAAGAGTGACAACTGTGCCAAATATCCCACTTGTGAGATTATCTATGGGGAGACCAATGTTCAGTGGCCTTTCGTAGGCTGTAAAAGATAGATGGATGACATGTATACTTTGTAATTTTAGTCATTACTGTTTTGGTTATATTAAAAAAAAAACGTTGGCATTAACAGCGTGTAAATAATGCGGTCACCTTGAGTTTCGTCTTAATTATATAAATGTGAGTGTGCATGTGGGATTGTCCTTCATCTCACAGCAAGGGGGCAATGGATCGACATCTTAATATATATAAATTACGTGTCACGTTTTGTCCGCGATGACACCTAAACTACTTAATCGATTTTAATCAAATTTGCCCACCGTGTGCAGTTTGGTCCAACTTGAGAGATACGATAGTTTTTTTGCTCATGAGTGACCCATAATTTTTTTTGCGAATTTAAGGATTTTTAATAAGACAAGACAAATTGTCGTGGGAAAATACAAAACAACGTTTGCCTGGTAAGCTAGTATTATTATATTTTTTGGAAGAGATAAACTTAGTTGGGTTAGGACCTAAGAGTGACATAGGATAGTTTTTGAAAAAAAAATACACGATTCCCGCGTCTGTTGGCTGAAAGAATTATGATAAAATTTAGTATGGTATCTTAGGTCTTGGAATAAAACACAGGAAATTTTTAATCCGCAAAAATGCATTACGTTAAGATAGCTATTAAGCCTTTAAGCATAATTCTATAATAAGCATACTTCTATAACTCGCTACTCTCATTAAAACGGCTGAACAGACTTAATGCAATTTGGTGACCTAACATATTATATATTTTATCCAGGAAAGTTCATAGTTCCTGTGTGATTTAAAATTAGCCGAATTTTATTCAAATTACATGTTTGCGTGTATGTGTTGCACTTATTGCACATACTTTCCCAAATTTAAAAAATGGGAGATGAGAGATGATGAGAGTGCTTCGCCAATAAGGACGAAAAAACTATTATGTTAAAAAATTCATGTTGGTGATTCAAATATTTACTCACTACTCGAATGGTACTATAATGACGTTAGTATTTTCTACTCAGTTGAGTTTCTATACTCCTTGAAGTTATGTATATGTATGGCGTTCCTTCTCATAAGCTGGAGACCTGAAAATTTGGCGTCCCTGCACCGAGATTGTTAGGCTGCGCATCACAGAACTTGGATAAATAAGGCCAGTATTTTGATTGGAGCAGATTAAAGTTAATGTGCATTTAGTTATGTAAATGTTTAAATAAAATGTTACGATTCTCGATAAAGATAGCCTTTATAAATTATAACAACCATCAATAAGTCACTTTGCAAGTGATGAAAATTAATTTGGGTATTCCATAATTTACAGTCGATTATTTAGTAGTTAGCTGTATGTTGGTTGATCGAGGATATCGATGCCCAAAGCTTGCACGTGCTAGCGTAAGAAAATAAATGATATAATATGGTTTACAAACCATATATACTTTGAATCCCACTACTTACTGTGGCGTGGGCAAATTGCGAACTTAAATCAAAATTTTATATCCTTAAAACCGACATAATTGTAAATTTTTGATAATACACTCACATATGATGCCCTTGTACCAATTCACAGACAAAACCTTTGATGAAAAAATTGTAATACACGTAAGTTAACATGGTTTTTGGGACTTTTTGGTTTCTTTATACGTGACATAGACGTTTGGAGTTTTTTGATAATAACATTTTTGTGTTGTTCGATTTATGCGGCCGATATTTCTTATATGTAACTTTTTTTGTAACATAAAATACAAAATCTACCTTCATAGCTTCGTATATATATATATATATATATATATATATATATATATATATATATATATAGCAATTCCGCAATTCGCCAGTATACATATATGGTTAGTAAAACATATTGTATGATTTATTTAACGCTAGCAATTTATTAGCTATTAAGTTAACTCTTCAAAATATATTTTAACAAAAAACACTAGCACACCTAGTGCTGACTGACCACCAGCTCCATCCACCATCAGCATTATTAACGTTATAATTTAGCAATGTTCTCATTAAAACTATCTCAAAATGTTATTATTAAACTAAAAAAGAAAGCCGTACCGACTCTTTTTTTAGTTATTCGTTATATTTTGTCAAAATAAATTTTAGTTAAATGAAGAATGATTATTTACTGCATAGAAAGCGTCGTTAATTAAAACCAATTTAATACGGATAGAGAAGATGATAGAGAATTTCAATTTAATATGGAAACGGTTGTAGTGGGACTTGTTAGACGAATGAAAAAAAATGATAAAAAAAAAGGAATTGAAATGATTTTCATTAATTTAACTATATTATACTTTGTTACCTATACGCGTAGAAACATCGATGTGTAAAAAGTCGATGTGTGGGTAAATAATTCATCATCCTACACCACCCCATAATATTTTTATAGCAGAATTCGAAGGTGTTTCCTATTATAAAATATAAAATTACAACAAAAATCTGTTGTACTAATGCTGTCATTCGTTTCTGAATAGATTCGAATATAAAAAGACGGCATTTTTAGTACCTCACAGTTGTGTTTTTAGGAATATATCAAGAATGATTCAAAAATATAACAAATGTATGCAATTGGTTTTTTTTCGTCGTATCTTATTTTTATAATAATTTAACAAACGCATTTGTACGTGTTTTTGTATATCATTACAAATAAAATAAACTCACCTTTCCCGTCTCATCATCATCAGGTATGTTTTCTTCACTATTGTTCACAATAAGCATGAATCTCTTTTTCATCAACTTAATTAGACGTTTTCCTGTTTGCTCATCAACAACTGTGTTAGTGCAAACGAAGCTTCTAACAGCACGTGAGTCTTGGTCAACGTCTAGAAATCCTTTGGTCTGCATGTATATGAAATCTCCATTCTTAGTCATCAAACGGTAACAGGATTCTCCAACCAGTCGGTGGTTATCGTACACTGAAACGAAACATTAAGTATTAAAAAATATGAATTATGTACGTACATCTATTTCGATTTGGATCAGGAACAAAAAGCAAAGTCCGAATTGAACCGAGTACAGTTTCTGAAGAAACCAGTTTGAAAGAAATTTTTTTCTTTGACGCTTACCAGGAAAAACTCGATTTTATCAATTTAGTTTATTTAAAGGTTGTTTGCTAACCGGGCTTGATATATTAGCTATTCACATAGGTTTTTGTTGATTCTGGTTTGGCAGACTATCAAGCTTTCAGAACAAGGCGAACAGACCTATCATATTTACATACATGTAAATCCAGCTGAGACTGAGATTAAAAAAGCAGAAATTAACCGATGTCGTAGCACGAGTTTTTAAAAATATGGTGCAAATAATGGTGACCCTCCTCACCAAAGGACATGTTTAGATGAGGCATGTGGCTTTGGTAGTAAAAACGCAGCTTGGTTCACGATGCAGACATGCTGCATGCCGGCACACATAGATAAGAAGATGGAACTCACCCAAAACAACTTTTAAAAAGGCTTTTGTTCTTAAAACGAAATAAATATATTCTATTTTTTAGGCAAATTGCAAACACATATTATGTATTAAGTAAATTTAATTTTCATTAAGAGCGGCAACGTTGTTTTCTTTAGGCACATCTTAATGAACCAGTCATCCATAGTCCGTCGACATTCGCCTAGTGATTTGACTACACCATGTTTAAAATTACTAAAGCAAAATAATGAAGTTATTGTCGCTAAATTAGTAAATGTGTTAGTTTGATTTTCGCATACGTTGTAAAATGCTGTAAGAATTCAGTTGTATCATTTATTGTATGGAACCTAATAGCAGCCTGTGTGTATATTATGATTTATCTCTAAAAGCCTGTGCTATATTAAGCTTTTTAATGATTTCCTTTACTAATAAACAGGTATTGCATTTCCTAGGAATAGAAAATGCTTTTGTTTCACTTCAATATCCTGTCGATAACTAAGAACGTCCGTTTCTCATTTCACTGAACAGTTTATTATCGTTTATTTTAGATAACTATAAAAACTATATTTGTAGACTACAGGGTATTAAGAGATTTCGTAACAAATATTATAAATCTATTGTGGTTGAAATTGAGCTAACATCTTTATTAAAAAAAACTGTAAAATTATATGTGACCATAACACAGCGTCGTGCCACGATTCTACCACGTGGAGTCACGCTGCAACTATATTATCGTTGTGGCACAATGGGTCTGATCGAAAGGACTGACTGACTGACTGAAGAGGATGGAAGGACCACGTTCTCATAGAAAACCAGCATAAAATGGCAACTTAATTTTGCTGTGTTGAGTATAGAAAACCGGAGACCCTCAGGAGTCCTCAGAATTGACAACGCATCTACACTTTTATTCTTAATCGAGGAAACGGCCACGGGCCAAAGCATTCACTTACGTCATTACTACACATACATTACTCACGTCAGCTTTATACTATTAAGAAAAAAACTGCAATTCCTTGAGATCAAATAATCTCAAGGAATTGCAAACTTTTTCAATTTTTGCTTCGTATCGGAACTCAAAATCTTTCGGTGAGTTTTGCATAGAAAATATGAATCACAAAAGAGTTTTTATGCAGTTCGCAAGCAGTCTTTAAAGATTAAATTTCATCAAGTGAGATGAATGGCACGAATACAATATTAAAATCAAAAATTATTTTACCAATTGAGTAGTTCAACTCAATTAAATGACCTTTTATATAATTGAACAAGAGTAGTTGTGATGTCACGTTCCTTGCAATTAATAAACATTATATGGTGCGTGTATTTTTTAATAATTGAAATAAATATTTATAACTTGAAACGAAAAACCATTTAGATTATAATTTGACGAAGTAATTGATTACTGATGGTATCAACGATACTATTTAAAAATTAGAAGAATCAAAACATTTATCCCCGGTTGTCTGAACCTAAAAGCTGATCGCCTCATGGCGAATATCTGTTACAGTTGTCACGTTTGGCAGACTGATTGGCAATCGCAGGTTTTTATTTTCTAGATGTAATTAGAACGTTGATGTTCATCGCATGGCTTCTTTCGCTCCGTCCTCTCTTAAGACACCCACCTAATAATGTGGGGTAGTGGATGTACTCACACTGCCACTGTATGATGCAAACATGAGTTCACGCTAAACTTATTCTTTTAAATTTGAATATGTATAAAGGGATATACAATGCAACACGCCCCACCGGTGGACCGGAGGGGAGTAGCCATACGTAGGGGTTCCGCCCTGTCGAAGTATAAGTGCACGCGGTTCTATGCGTACTACAAAAAAAAAAGTTGCAGCCGCACTGCTCACTAGACTAAATTAATCTAGTTGGGTGGCTAGATCGAAATCGAATCGACTTCCTACAAAAATACCGAATTGTTCAGTTTTTTTTGCTGCAATAAGAGGTTTGCCACGTTAAATTTACAAAAAGATGTCATTACCTTTCAAATATACATACATACATACATAAACACTCACGCCTGTTACTCAGAGGGGTAGACAGAGATACCTACGCGTACATGTTCGATTACTCCTAGTTTGGTCTATTTTCAATGGGTCTTTCAAATATAAGTCCTTTTAATCACATTATTGCTATTAACTTCTATTAAACTTATAACTAACAATAATAACGGTGTTGTTTTAAATTTGCTTAGGAACACAGGCCGCTCGCTCCCATACAATAAGCGGATCAGTCGAGAGACTGATCCTAATTGTCACTGTTACCAAGCGTTAACAGTTAATACTAAATCTATGTAATTATGTGTGTGTGAAAATATTACTCGTAGTTTATTGTTTTAATTGTTATGTGTGAGTTTGACAGACGATTGTTTTTGTGTGCGTAAATTTTCCGCTGCAAAAATTGTAGACAATTCTGTATCATACAAAACGCAATGGATACTTTCCTTCGTTCCTCCGTATAAAGTATAATATATAAAGTATAAAGGGATATAACCAACACACAGTTTCAAGGTGTTTTATAAATGGTGAATATGAAATCCGCTTAAAAGTTAAAGTCTAATTCTAAATATTTCATAAATATATCGAGTTTCACTAGCATTATAATAAATCATATGTTCACAATTTTAAATAGTTATTTACTGAGTTGACCTACAGATCAAAACACAGATTGTAAATCATACATCTAATATCTATAATATCACATTATACTCAATACAACAACATTAAATAAAAAGCTAATTCATGACCTAAGATTCATTTTATTTTTAATCATTATTGGAAATTGTAAATTAGGCCATGCCGATATTATGGTTGTAACACGAATGGGTGGGAAATGGGTCTGATCAACTGAAGTAAAATAGCAGCTACTACTGTTTCGTATGGTGAGTGTAGAGAACCGGAGACCCCTTTTAATGAAAACGAGACATTCAATCTTAATCCTTTTTTTATTGAATAAGGATGAAAAACTTGCACACAATCCATCTGATGGTAAAAGGATGCTGTGACCCATAGATATCTACATCTATCCTCGATTAAGAATTAAAACGCAACGCGATGTCACCCCTGAGGGCTGAGATGAAACGCTTCGTTTCCGGTAAAAAGGGTCTCTGGATCTCTACACTCACCATACGAAACATAGCCGTATTAAGCTGCTATTTACGCTGGTATACTGTGAGAGCATGGTCCTTCCCCGGTCGCGCGGACGCATTCGTGCTACAACCATTAAATAGCTGCAGCGTGGATCTACCACGTATGAAAACGTATAAAAGTCCTCATGGGTGACAACGCATCTGCATTTCTGATAGATGTAGGTGTATATGGACCACAGCATCCACTTATCATGAGACTGTGTGCATTTGCCACCCTTACTCTAGATCTTCTAGAAAAAGAATTAGTATATTACATATCTACACATTTGTCGCGGGGAAAGTTGTTATCAAAAGCAATAACAATTAAGGCAACGGATACTCAGACTGCTTGCTGGTAAACAAGTGCAATGGAATCCGGATAGGTACGATTATGATTATTGATGGATTTTCAAACATAGATAAGTCAATAAGTCAAGGTTACATGAGTCAATTGATGATAAATGTTTGCCTATTGCACTGTACAAGTATTTTATTTTAATTGCAATAAACTTCTATCAACAATACCAACTAGATAACGGGTCACGTACAAAATCATAGCTAAATACTGTCCGCATGAATATACTCGTAACTATGAAAAGACATAAATTAAATAACATTTAGTGTGAGATCAACCTTAAGTTATAACAATTAAATTTCTTTTTCCCGTTATTGCCTTGCGAGCTACACTCTCACGTCCAAGAGCTCACGTCTCATGTGCGCTCTTATTTACTGAGATGGATTTCTTGCGCCGACCCGACATCTAGTTGGTATTGTTGATCGAAGGCAATAAATATCAATTTCATTAAAAACGAGATTATTTCTTTTTGCAGAAGGAAGTTACTATTTTAACAAATTAAACGTATATATTTGTTCTTTTTCGTCATTAGCAGTTAGTAAAAGTCTTCACGGGCCTCCCACGTTGTAGGATTAGCCTTAATCGTCTCATTTATCAGGCGAATGGTGAATGATGAATGGCGAAGGGCTATCGTAATGCCAAACATCTGGTATATTTGACGTTGCTGTCTATCGCTAATTATTGACAGCGTTGTTATGCACAAGAGCGGTTACCTGAATAATATTACAGCTAGGAACTACTGCGACTATAATTTAGAATTGAAATTATTGTTTGGCTTAAAATATAGCTCAAGATAATTCAACGCTATTCTTGCCGTAAAGTAATTAACTTTTTTTAGTGAAGGGGTTAAAGTATAGGATTACCTCTTTACTTACTTTCTCGCAGCGCTATTACAACCCATCGAACATTATCTCGATGCATAAAATTCATCGCGTTGACTCCTTTTACTTCATGCTTCATATAGCCAGTCACGAGGGAAATACGTGAATCACAATCGATGATCTCGCCGTCAATGGAGTGCCTGGTGCGGTACTCCATTCGGAAAGATTCAAGGATGTTGTCGCTGATAAATGTCTCGCTCGTAGGGCGTACCAATCCTACAAAAACCTGTAATTATATAAGGTATTATAATTATATTAGAATAGGATTCTCACTAGCTCTTTATTTATTGTTCGTCACTAAAGAAAAATTAGCATACTAAAACAATATATAACTTCTGATGGTGGTAAATAAATGTAATCCAATATAAATATTCGTATGTCGCGTATGTATTTTTACCTTGTAAATGTAGATAAGCTTTTTGAACACGCTACAATTATACAATTGTATATTATTTATGTTTTGACTGCTGCACAATATTTCGAAAACTGCATTGTAATTGGTGTTCTATATGTAGAATATGTTATTTAATGTATAAGGAGTAATCGTCAACTATCTCAACTTCCTTGGTAGATTTAGTTTAAGTGGCGAGATGCGAGCGACTCAATATAAATATTCGGTTGTAGTTTCAGAGACATGGACATTAGAAATACTTATAATAAACTAGCTATTTGTCTTAACTCCGCACCGGAAATATCAAGAATAGCGCCACCTACCGGGTACAACTATGTCTATAACCATCGCGGAAATGCAAGCAATATGTTGACAAAGTTTTACCGCAATCTGATGAACTAAATAACAGCGCATAAAGCATAGAGTAGAGTAATATATCGGCTGGCGACGCCCTAAAGTAGGTATGAATTGTAGGTATTCTGTGACAGTACAGAGTCCAATGTGTAAAGCTACACGAGCACGAGCTCTTGACTATGCAATAAAAAACTTGTAAATAAGTTATAATAACATTTATTAGAAAAATAGAATAAAAAGGAGTTTGAATTTGAATAAGTGTACAGCGTACAGCGTATTTTTTTTAATTATCAGATTTTAATATTATAATGGTCGTTGTTTGTTTATATTAGGTTAATTAAAATATAATTTTCGGGGATTCATTGTAAACTTCTCGACCACTTTATTATTAAAATCTTGTAAGTTTCCATGTATAAGTTTCCGGTGCACTCTCATCATGGCCAAACCATTAAGGCGATTTTCACTCATAGTGCTTCTTAGCCAGGTTTTTAGTCTCCTGAGGCTGCTAAACGATCGCTCAACCGTACACGTCGTGCATGGAAGAGCGATCAAGATTTTCAACGCTTTTTCCGTGTCGGGAAAGAAGGTTTTTGCTTCTTTTAGGATATCAACAAAGGTTTGATCTGTTGAGTTTGGTTTATTATGCCAGAATTGCTGCCAAAGCTCGACTTCAATTTTTATGTTTGGTAAATTATAAAACTGAGCGATAGTTTCACAAGTCTGTGAGATTTTCGACTGACATCGTTTGCATTTGTGCGGGGTGTAATTTAGATAAAGCAAATGATGGAGTATTTTCTTCAGCAAAGCGTGTTTCAAGCGATGTAATAACGGAGTCCAAGTATGGTATTATTAATGATCTTTTCCAGAATTCTGAAGGGTTTTCTGCTGGGTGATTGCTTCGATGACGTTGTTTCCCAACAATGCGCGGCATTGAAGTGATATCCTCCTCCAGGCCGACTTTCTCCGCAACAACAGTAGCATCCTTTATAATTTCATCTGTGACTCTTTCGGGATTATCTCGGTGGCTCTTAAGCAATTGCAAAATGCGTTTGACGTGTTGCGAGGCCTTAACCACATCCAAAGCTATGGATTGGAGTGCGTTGACAACAGGTTCTAACAAAGCAGAGTATTTAGCTATCAAAGTAATACAAAGTATAAACGAAATTTTGAAAGCAGCCGCATGGAGTTGAAAGGCATTTTTTCGAGTAGCACTGTTTCCTTCACGCGATAAGTTTTCTAAGGCTTCCAATATAACAGGAAAATTCTCCTTAAATACTCTGATAGTTTTATGTTTCTCACTCCATCTTGTTTCGCAGAGCCTGGCAATATTAAGGTACCAATTTTCTTCTCAAAACAGATTCCCGAAAAAAATTAATAATATCTTTAGTGGTTCCCATGGTGTTTCGAATTTCAGGAAGAATATTGAGATCATTTATTACCAGATTCAATTTATGGGACGAGCAATGAAAGAACAGTGCTTTGGTATATTTTTTGCGAAGGATCGCTTGTACTCTACCGTCTTTTCCGGACATCGTCAAACAACCGTCAAATCCAAAACCAACGCATTTATCAGCAGGATTAAGGTCTTCTTTTGTCAGAAACTCATCGATGCAATATGCAATAGATTTCGCATCCAGACCGTTCAGCCAACAAATCCGACGAACATTTCTTGGACCTCATTGGCTTCCTCGTCAAAATATCGCAGCCCAATCGATAACTGTTCAGTACCGGAAATATCAGCCTGTTTCGTCTGCTAAAACACCTATAAGCTTCTGCTTCTTTTACTTTTTTCACAATGTCTGCCTTAATAACATCTCCACAAATTGCGATAATTTAATTTTGAATAGCAATCGATCGATAGCTTGCATTCTTTTTCCCATGCTCAATGTGTTTCTTCAAAACTAAATCTCCCGCGTCAATTCGTAGCTTGTATAAGTCCTCGAGAATACCTTCGCCATAATGTTTTCCTCTCAGAGCTAAGTCGTGCGACCCGCAAAACGTAATGCAGGAAATAATAGATGTTATATAATTTTTCGGTTTTCTTCAATAATACCCCAGGAGTATTTGTTGAGTTGTAAATCTACAGGCACACTTCCAAGAAATGATTTAGCGGCTTCCAGTGCCATCTTATGGAAGTGGGTTTCCATGTGCTTTTTGTAATTCTCGTGAATATCTTTGAACTTACAAAACGGCCTTATGATAAATTACCCTAATACGCCTCTAAAAGAATTTGGATTTGGCGGGAACAATGTACAATATTTACAAAAGGCTCCTTTTTGGTGCCTGGAATAGGCCAACCATGGAGAGTACGTTTCCAACCATGAATAATTAAATTTCCTCTTCAAATGTTTAGCGTCTTCCGCAAAGTCATACGTCGCAGACGGAGACCAAGTGCTTTCAAGCAATTCTTTCTTCATTTCAGTCGATAACATTGATGCTTGTCCAATAAATTTACCGATGTCATTTTCATTGCAGTCATTTATCGAAGAGTCGGGAACTAAGTTTCGGTTCTTTGGATGTGCTAGGTCTCGCCAGGTCACCCACGGAATCATCGCTGTCACTGCTTGCTCCTTCAGGTTTCTTTCTTTTTAAAACTGCAAAATAAAATATTTGAAATAGCAACAACTTCTTCTGGTCCGCAATTCACATTGAAAGCATAAATGCCCTTCAAGACGGCGGCACGCTCGAGCCCGCGCAAGGACTAGCGTCAACGATATTTTTTATATCAACAGTCCTAGCTATTTCGAGCGGCTTAACCGCCGCGGCTATGCTCGCGCGGTCTCGGGCATCCTCGCTCGAGCACTCTAGAGCGGGCGCGACGACACGCACGCACCGGAGTCTCAAGCATACGCGAGCCGACTGTGCCGAATCGGCACTGCCGATATTCATTCATACAATTTTCTACTTTGAGCTATGTTAATACGGTCCTATTTTCGATTGAACCATTAAATTGAGCAATTTTCCTTTTGGTTTAAACTGACGACCCTTAAGAATCGGACATCGTGCCTAGAAACGGATCTTTGCGATTTTAAAAACCGATGCAAAATCAGCATTTGTAATCAAATCAATTGACGTTATTTTACGTACGGAAAATACAAAAGCTAAACGCAAGTGATACTCACCAAAAAATTTTCTGATGTCCATATTGATTATGTGGTCACAGCAACTATTTAGATGTGATAATAGCGCACAAAACAAAGTAAAAGCGGGCAGTGGCAACGCTAACGCACGAATAAATGACAGACAGACGATAAAACAAAGGCGGCTGTGTGGGGGGCGCGGGCGCCACGCGGTTACAAGTTGCTTTGCTTCCCTACTCCCTCTCTCCCGCTTCAACGATAGAGTAGAGCAGAGCGCAGCGTAGTACGGAATATTAAGAGTGGAATTGGTGAATTCATTCGAGTTTCGACGCACGGGAATGATTGTTCAAGGCTTGAACTTCAAGCAAATCAATAGGACTTTGGTTGCATTATATTTGGTAACTTTTTTAGAATCTCTAGGGGGGGGGGAAGCTGCCCCTCCCTACCCCCCCCCCCTTGGCGACGCCCTTGGACAAAAACATCGATTTATTTTTATTTAAAAAAGTGAATATAAGTAAATTTTTCAGGGAGATCTCTCAAAGGGAGTGATAATGAGTTTATGAACATTTAGTATGGCCATAAGTCCTGTTACACATTAGAATGTATATCTATACTAATAATAAAACTCTAACAAGACGACTTCTGAACATTGGATATCATTTTGAAATTATGTTATCGATAACGAAGCCAAAACAAAAATTTATTGGAAACGTTGTATGTCTGTCTGCACAAGCATCACGTCAATACCTGTGAACAGATTGGATGGGACTTACACTACAGTATTACGTAAGGATAAGAAAATAATAAATATATATGACCACGCTATCTAACATACCAGTTGTACACTAGGCATAAAGTAACCTTTTGCAGCTACAAAGAGAGAAAGATTGTACTCAAAAAATTAATTTCATTTCATTTTGAGTTGTTCTTATATTATTCCTTCCCGTTATTTTCTAAATATCATAGTTTATTTTAGTAATAAAGTAACTGACTGTCTCGTTGGTCTAGTGGTTGTATTAGTGCGACTGTTGATCATGGGGTCTTGGGTTCAAATCCCGGGTCGGGCCAATAAATTAGTTATTGAGTTTTTCCGTCAAGAAATTCTCAGTAATTGCCCCGGAGTCAGGAAATTGGCGGTGTCTCTCCCCCGTGCATCGGAAAGCACGTAAAGCCCTTGGTCCTGCGCCTGATCTCTCTCCGGTCGTGTCGGTTTACCGTCCCACCGGATTATGAGGCTGAGGGAATAGAGAGTGCACCTGTGCTTGCGCATACACTTGGGCACTATAATCCTATCCTGCGTCGATGGCTGGCCTCCGTTGAGGCAGGCCGCCGTGGCCGGAATTCGGTCTGGAGGACATTATTATTAATAAAGTTACTATTCTACTAGGTAACGAGATGACG